TAAATAAATTAGTATAAGTAGAAGTGTATACAAGTATATCACACAGTTCAGAGTGATATATACCACTTGATCACACCAACATAGATCTATTGAGAAATGAATTAATATAATCAGGATTTCATTCAAATATGTCACTCAATTCGAAGCAAAGCGTTTCATTCGATCACATTAGCCAAAGTCTTTTGACTAGTGAATTATTATAATAAGGATTACATTTAAATATATGGCTCACTTTAAAGCCTAGTGTGTCATTTGACCGCATCAGCAAAGATCTCTGGCATAGTCAAGCGAGCTCAACATAAAGATTTTGTTCAAATATGTAGCTTGACTTAAGTAATTCATTTAGATAAGCAACATATTCGCTGAAGAAGTGTCAACTAAATAGTCAACACAATCGCTCTGTTCAAATGTTGGTTAAATTACAGAAGTATGGTATGACCGAAAATGTCTTAAAGAATAATGTAGAACATGAATGGAATGAACAAATAATTCGTTCTTGTATCTGCTTATATATTGTAAAATGTAAATATAATATCTTATGATGGATGATCTGAAGATATTAGGATATTTAGACCAAACACTGATTCAATTGCATCAGTAGTTGTAATGAAAATATCACAGCTACTGTTTCAAAAGGCAATGACATAATGCATGCACAGGCAGGACAAGAATTCTATTCAGATATTGAAAATATTTTGAGGTGCTCGACTCGATTTCAATCAATGAACGAAAATAAACGTTATAAATGAGAGCGTTTTAGTTGAAGTTGTTATTGGGGCAGCACCTAAATGAATATGATGAGTTTGTAATTGAATGAAAAACCTATTACAATACACAGCATCCTTGCAGTGCGTTGAAAAATTGATTTCAGCCTGCTTTTGAACTTTTACATAGGAAGTCTCTATCTTTCTCAAAATACAATATAGAAAAGATTTACAATATGAAAATAAACAGTGTGAATATATTGATCTATCAGCTCAAATGAATAGTGATATATCACACTGTGTTGAACTCACATCTAAATAATGATTACACAATATGAACTCTATTAATTCCAATTTACAGTTACTCAAGTATAAACTTTCACGTAAGCAAAAAAACACACATATTCTTTGTTTTACTGTTCTATTGTTGGACTTTCTTGGCGTTATTTATCATTCTTGATTGTTTCTGTCGAAATTTAACAGCATTCTTGTTCTATGGTAACAATCTCATGAGAAAGTTGCATGAGCTGAGTGACTGATGAACGTCAGTAAAGAGACAGTTGGTCAAAACACATCTCTTCATAATTTTTTTTCTCGTATTGAATACTTTCATTGTCTTTCACCAAAGGTTACGGACATGACATTTCTGGAATAGTTCTATAATCTCAAAGTTTTCACTGCAAGAGGAATTCTACCATTAAACGAGTATGTGTTGTGTTATTTTGATGGCAATAAAGATTAAATTGACACATATAAAACTAGAAGGTCTCGTCATCCGAAGAAATCGATTATTCACATCCTATTGGAGACGTAAACGAAGCATGCAACCTACCGATTGTGTTTTTTAATCCCCAGTGATATCAAAATCACTGAGAGCATTCAATTCAGACAACGCTGAGCTTACGAACAGTATCGTGTGGACAAGAAAAATCAGTCACAGAGAGTAGCTGAGATGAACGAGTTAGAGATATCACAAAGGCAGACAACAAGCAAGAAAGATTGGTACCTAGTAACGTATGGTTAGCATCTCAGCAAAAGTCAGTTCTTTTGGATCGAGCACTGTGTGCATTAGTAGACATGTTGTTCTGCTATTTTTGAAACACAATTCTAAATGAGTGTTCAAAGTATATAGCGGGCAACTTGGACTTATCTCTCTTCCATATATCCTGATAGACAGAATGTATACTCTTAAAATAAATATTTGACACTTGGGCGAACTGTGTCTACGTTCTAGAAAACGGTACATGATGTTTTTTTCAACCACTGTCTACGTAAATATGAATTATCGTTATATTTTTTGTATCGATTTTTGCGATTCTTTTACTTTTATTCGCAAGACTCAAAAGTCTCGGATGTAAAGAGTTAGTTTTAAAAAAGCTTGTCTGTGTACGCGCCTGTGGATCAATGTGTATGCTGATTTTCAAATCATTCTCTACTTGATCATATGATATAATTTCATATTTTTTATTTCGAACTCTTTTTTTAAGAGCGAAGTTCATGTACAGTTAATGAGGTTTTATGTTGATGTAGGAGCTTGCTTCTTGCGTAGAACAATTCAATATATAGAAAAGACCAATATTTATGAAAATCAAGTATTTCTGATTACGTCCAATGCCTCAAATTTGGTCGACAAAAAAACTATGTAACAGCAGTACATTTGTTCTTTGCATTATCTGTCTAGGCAAAAACACTTTAGAGAAAATCATTGTTACCGCTTGAAAGCTTGTCCACTGCTCTAAAAAAAGGACTCTAGAAACATTTTGATTGAAGGAATACTTTAGCAAGAAATTAACGTTTTATCAGTGGTACTGGAGAGAAAGGGTCTTTTTATGCAATAACGTTAGTCTATGATAAAACTCTTCTATAAGTTCGAAACTTCAGCAAAAACAGGTTACCCTTATAGCTTAAATAGAGTGAGATAAGCTGCGTCGGTTGGTGTTTAAACGAACTTTTTTAGAGCTCAACCTTTTGAGATAATTGAGAAAGTATGCCAAAAATCTAACAGTATTACATTTGGACAAGTTTTATATATCTCGCTTATTAATCAACAAGCACCAACAGCATACAAAGAGAATCGACTTGAGGTTTTTGTTTGGTAATTTTCCGATGATGATGCATATATTTTGTTAGACGCTCGAAAGAAATACTGTGATTTTGCATGAAAGTCGCCATATTCTCTGTGGCAGTTTTATACTCTTTAGTTTCATGAATTTTTCTGAATTATAAACTAAATGCTAACGATCTTTTTTGCTGAACTCGGATATGAGAAAAAAATGATGGTACCTAGATACGCGAATCGACAACTTTCCAAATCAATACCTCGATCACGTTCTCCAATTCAAAATATATTCTGTTATCCATGCATAATAAAAGCTAGTATCTTGTAATATGTGAATGCTGAAATTTTCATGTCCTTAGATAATACTTTGATGTAGCTTCAAAGACACCAAAAAACACCTTTCATTTAGCAGTATGCAGAAAGTTATTAAGCCTGTAGTGCTGATAGAGTATGAGTAAATTTGTAGTAGCGGTGTCCGAAGATGCACAAAAAAATCTTTGCCAAAATGAATCTTTTAACATTTCTCTAGCATGAGATAAGAGTCGTTCTAATTTGATAGAGCATCTCATGGATTGCAGAACATAATTGATATTGATTGTAAAAGTCAGTCTACGTTTCTAGATACTGGGTCATATTAGTGAATTAAAAGTCAATAAATCATTGACAAATATAAGTGGCTCTTTTTCTGAAAGTCGACATTATTAAGTTAGATGATTAAATAGTTTCATTTAACATTTAATATTAAGTTTCAGCAATTATGTTAGGCAAATATCATTTACTTTCAAGTCTTTCTTTACTCTAATACAGACTCAGCATAGTGTGGTTCGAGTCGATCAAAAGTGTTCTTTTATATAGTCACAGCAACAATCACGTTAAGATCACATTAAAGTGAAGAAAAACTTGAAGTTAAATGATATTAGCCTAACATAATGTCTTAAACTTAATGAGGGAAATCGTCCGAAAACTCAATTTTGCTTAAAATTATCCATTTTTATCATTTAGAGCTCATTAGATAGGACAAAGTGTGTACTTTTGAATGCACTATAGTGTTTTTGTATTTCATGTAAAAACTCAAGGATGTTACTAAGGTTTTTCGAAATTCACCTACAGAAAAGATTCACTTTTCTTCTAAAAACTAGTTTGTTGTCGATTTCTCGGTTGACGTACTATATCCATATGAAAACAAAAAGATTCTACTTTACATCTTCATGTATGTTCATTTGAGTCGTTCTCATAAGTGAACTATGAAAACTTACTCGAAGATCTTTTTGACATCAGTTTATGAGGAAAACGTTTTGACTTATAGTGCTGCAACTTATTTTTCATTTTTCTTGAAATCCTTTTCTTTCAACATACTGTTTACGTGCACAAATATTTCTTAATAACGACTCAATATAAACGTGATAATTGTTTTTACTAGAGAGAAGATAGTTCGGGCTAGTTTGCCAAAAGGTCTCCATACTTGACTTTCTCTTTTACTGAAACAACAAACTCAAAATTTTTGATTTGTATTAGTGACCTTTTCGGGCACAACATTCAGAACTTTTCGAAAAATCCTCATTCAAAAGACGAATAAGAATAAACACGAAAACTTGACTACATTGTGATCTACTCCGTGATGTACTCTAAAATCTAAAAACCATCGCGACATGTTACCTCCTATTCTTATTTTCAAAACCTACTCCATGTAAACAGTATTTGTGATCGATGAATCGACACAAATTCATTAGCGGGTTCAAAACTTGGAAAGATCTTTCACGAACAATCTACACTAGTCAAGACCAACAATCTCTGCAATTGTCGTTGACATAAGACGAAAAATAGAAAGTCTACTTCAGAGCAGTGTCCCTTGATACCACAGACAAGCAAAAAAACATAAATAACTTTATGTGCCCTCCAACGGTTCGCCTCAATTCGCCAGCAAACCTTGAAGACCCATAACAATTTTCCTATCTCCAGAGTCACCGATTTGTAACACGGCATAAACTTATGGAAATCATCGAACCACAGCTCGTGCATGTATTATCACTTGTGAATACACAGACAAATGTCGTATAACGGTAAGAACATTTTCACTTCGATTTCATATACTTCATTCTTAGCTTTGTAATCCATCCTACAAACGCTCTCGACCTAATTGAATCTCTAGACTTACGCCGCAGCCTTCCTAACGCTAACGTGCACTTCCGTTGTGCCTCTGGACACTGATCGATAAAGCTATCTACACACTCAACAATTTAACTCCACAATAACAATAACTGCATACCTCCTATGACATTTCCGAAATATGTTGTTGTTGTGGTTGTCGTTGTTGTTGTAGTAGTAGTTGTTGTTGTAGTTGTTGTTGTAGTTGTTGTTGTTGTTGTTGTCGTAGTTGTTGTTGTGGTTGTTGTTGTCGTCGTTGTTGTAGTAGTTGTTGTCGTAGTAGTTGTTGTTGTTGTAGTTGTCGTTGTTGTTGTTGTCGTTGTTGTTGTTGTCGTTGTTGTTGTGGTTGTTGTTGTCGTTGTTGTTGTAGTAGTAGTTGTTGTCGTAGTAGTTGTTGTCGTAGTAGTTGTTGTGGTTGTTGTTGTCGTTGTTGTTGTAGTAGTAGTTGTTGTAGTTGTTGTTGTAGTTGTTGTCGTTGTAGTTGTTGTTGTGGTTGTCGTAGTTGTTGTAGTTGTAGTTGTTGTGGTTGTCGTAGTAGTTGTTGTTGTACTTGTTGTGGTTGTTGTAGTTGTTGTGGTTGTTGTTGTAGTAGTTGTTGTGGTTGTAGTTGTTGTCGTTGTAGTTGTTGTAGTAGTAGTTGTTGTAGTTGTTGTTGTAGTTGTTGTCGTTGTAGTTGTTGTTGTGGTTGTCGTAGTTGTTGTTGTCGTTGTAGTTGTTGTAGTAGTTGTTGTTGTAGTTGTTGTTGTAGTTGTTGTCGTTGTAGTTGTTGTTGTGGTTGTCGTAGTTGTTGTAGTTGTAGTTGTAGTTGTTGTGGTTGTTGTGGTTGTTGTAGTTGTTGTTGTGGTTGTTGTAGTAGTTGTTGTGGTTGTAGTTGTTGTGGTTGTGGTTGTCGTAGTTGTAGTTGTTGTGGTTGTCGTAGTAGTTGTTGTTGTAGTTGTTGTGGTTGTTGTAGTAGTTGTTGTGGTTGTTGTAGTAGTTGTTGTGGTTGTTGTGGTTGTAGTTGTTGTGGTTGTCGTAGTTGTTGTTGTCGTTGTAGTTGTTGTTGTGGTTGTTGTTGTCGTTGTTGTTGTAGTTGATGTGGTTGTGGTTGTCGTTGTAGTTGTTGTTGTGGTTGTCGTTGTTGTCGTTGTTGTCGTTGTAGTAGTTGTTGTTGTAGTTGTTGTTGTGGTTGTCGTAGTTGTTGTTGTAGTTGTTGTTGTGGTTGTTGTTGTCGTGGTTGTTGTAGTAGTTGTTGTGATTGTTGTTGTGGTTGTCGTTGTAGTTGTTGTTATCGTTGTTGTTGTCGTTGTAGTTGTTGTTGTGGTTGTTGTAGTTGTTGTTGTAGTTGTTGTCGTAGTTGTTGTTGTTGTAGTAGTTGTTGTTGTTGCTGTTGTAGTTGTTGTCGTTGTTGTTGTTGTCGTAGTTGTCTTTGTCGTTACTGTCGTGGTGGTTGAGGTCGTGATGGTTGATGTCGTGGTGGTTGATGTTGCGGTGGTTGATGTCGTGGTGGTTGATGTTGCGGTGGTTGATCTCGTGGTTGTTGATGTAGTGATTGTCGTCGTTGTTGTTGTTCTTGTAGTGGTTGTGGTTCTTGTAGTTGTTGTTGTCCTTATAGTTGTTGTGGTAGTCGCTAAATGAATATAAGGAGTCGTATTGATTTAAGAATATCCTGTACTAGACGGTATTTTCGGAACAAGTTGATAAATCGATTTTCAGCTCGCTTTGAATGTGGATGTTGAAAACCCTCCCTACTCTTTAAACATCAGATAAATTAGGTTTAGTGTTTGGAAATATACAGTTCGATTTTTTTGATTTTTTATCTAAAATGAACGGTCATATCTTTTGTTGCGTGAGACTCACTTCTCAATAATAAATGTACAGATCGAACTCGGTTGCTTGCTGCTGATAATTATCCAAACATAAACACCCGATCAAGGAATCGAAAGGACATAATCTTTGTTCAAATGTTCGGTCATTAGAGCGTCTTACTGTTTTCAATCAACGTAACTGATAAAGTGCGTTCAAGAGACAATGAGTCGGAATACAGCCTCTCGATAAGTATGCTTCTCTTTTTGAAAACTTTGATTCTTTCCTTCGTCATAAAGTATCTTTCTTTCATATACTCCTTATTCGCGATGCGTAAGAAGAGTGAGCTTCGGATAGAATGCGAACATATGAGGTTTGTCTTCTTATAAATGAAAAACGTCATCTCAGGGTGCAGGAACTGGATATGGAGTATGGACAGCAGACATACCCAAAGTCACAGTCTCAAGATCTAGTTTCGCTCTTTCTAAGTTTTCTTTATACGGTATTCGGAATTTTGTAGCCAGAATCCTACAAGTAACGCTCGTCTGTGTGACTCGCTTGACCCTCGACTGAATTTTCAACTCCGTCGGTGCTATATACTGCTTTACAGTCTTCAACAAAGTTGGTATCTAACGTTTGAAAAAGAGTGGATGTGTGTGGACGTTGATATTAGCATCACTCTCGTTGTGCACAATGATATGTGGGTCCATGTGATGGTTTTTTTGTCATAAATTCATCTAATGAAACTGATACCTACACATTGATACTCAACATAAATCTAAATTAACTACACTACGGCAGCAGTATCCGCACGCATCCGAAAAAAGAGATCATATTCAATTTTCTGAGAGGGTCACGAAGCAAAACGCACTCGCGACACTATTGTGAAAACGCGCCATACTCCTTGAAAACTCTAGTAAAAATCCGTATGCTTACTAGCCCATCAGCCGACAATGTTATTTGCTAGAGCGTCCGCTAGAAAAGTACGAGTTTAGCTGAACTTCTAGCTTAAAATAAATTATATTAGATATGACCTGTAATCGGAATACCACACTTGAATGAAGCTCCTACTTAAAGTAGCCGTCAGATTAGACACGTACGTTGAATATACCCGAAAACATTCTGACATTTTAATTAATACACACAAGCACACATACCAACAGAAAAACTCTCTTTTATTTTATTCATATTTATTTCCGATAGAGCGGATATAAATTCTTTGAGTGATGTACGCTTACTTCGAAAAATCGTTAGATTTGTAATACGAGAATTCTTAACGGGAATTTCTAAAGCGAAGCTTTGTTGTGAACTATTCCTTATTTCTTCAATTTCATTGTCTAGCTGGAAAATCAGAGTTTGATTGAAATTCCTCATCAAGGAAACCTTAGTGCAGTATTCTCAAAAAAGTTTAGCTTTTAGACATATTTTCTGAGGAGAATCTATAGTGCACTTAAGCAATGGTTGTTTATTGTCCATTTAACATAAAAGATATGACCTGATTTACAAATATCTTTTTATATTACTTTCTTCGAGTTACAGCGGCTAGAAATTTCACGAGTCGGAACTTCTGTAAAAATATATGAATAATCAAATACTTCGCCAGAAAGCAAAGATAAAGCGAGTAGACTTAGCTACTGATAATGTCGGATCGACTAAAACTAGGCTTTGAGTGTCAGAAGTACCTGTTGGTTTGGATGCGAATGCGAGTGAGATCCCGAATATGGTTTTGCATAAATGCAATTCTACGCGGCAGATTTTTGTCTGACACATATCTACTTCGAGAACCACATTTAGATAAGACGAACTACAAATAAAGCTGATCAGACGTAACTCATTAGCTAAGGTCAAGCGCACGCCATGTAAAAATATCCCTGATGCGCATTTATATCACAGAGAATGTGTCACTTATGCATAAATCCATCCTAAATAGACTAGCTGGTAATTAAACAAACGAGAACACATTAAATACTTAGGGCATTCCAAAAGTAGTGGCAATGACACTTTAATACTGTATAGTAAGCTTGAAGAAATTTTTTTCTTTTATGTGGTGATAGAGAAAACGATGCTCTATTTTTCTGTGCTATTTGATCACTCTTCCACTAATATCATAATAATAAAATTTCGATAAGAACTGTTTTTGTGTAAAATTTCACTAGCGGGTGAGACAGATTAAATGTTTCAATCACTTATTATGTTGTATTAAAAAACAAAATATACCACAAGATGCAGCGTGAAAAGCTCTACAATTTACATAAGACCACTTATTTTATAGTGGCACTTTTTGTTTTCAAAATGAACAAAATTTTGAGCGACCAATTTTCAACCGTGCGAAAACGATTTTTTTTTGGTACAAGATGAATTCATTTTTTCTCATTTCATCGTTTTGTCACCTAATATCTTTTATTTAAAAAAACAAAATACATCACAAGATGCAGCGTGAAAAGCGCTATAATCTCCAAAGTAGAGGTCATTTTAATTGTGTACTTCTTGTTTTCAAAAAAACGCAAAATTCTGTGCAACCATGTTCGCTGCCCCGAAAAAAATCATTTTTTTTCTATCCGAAAAGAAATTCCTTTTTTCTTATTCCATATATGAAATAAACTGTGCTTTGTAAATTGTAGAGCTTTTCACGCTGTATCTTATGGTATATTTTGTTTTTTAATACAACGTATTAAGTGATTGAAAATTGAAATGCAAAACATAGCCATTAATCTGCCTCATCCGCTAGTGAAGTTTTACACAAAAACAGTTCTTATCGAAATTTTATTATTATGATATTAGTGGAAGAGTGATCAAATAGCACAGAAAAATAGAGCATCGTTTTCTCTATCACCACATAAAAAAAGAAAATTTCTTCAAGCTTACTATACAGTATTAAAGTGTCATTGCCACTACTTTTGGAATGCCCTAAGTATATTGTTAGCAGAATAAAGTTTGACAGACTGATAGCTGAACATCGAAAATATTTAATTAGTTGAATTGGCGGCCTAAAAAAGTCTTATATATATATTTGATATTACTGATATCATGGAAACTGTTATCACGCTAACACATCTGAATACGTTACTCCCCCAATAACTATCAGAGCACAAACTCATTTTATTTCATATGACCCTTTTCAGCACAGTGAAAGATCATTGTTTTCTCTAAAAATCTTGCTCCGATGACAAAATTCAAAATGAAGATTTCAAGAGATCAAGTATAGATTTTGATGCCTGCAGCTCGTTTTCCATTCGTCAACCTTTATAAAATATGATAATTATCTCAAAAAACTCTTTCAATACTAAAAAACGAGTACCACATTTTTCCTAATCAGTGTTTCGGTGATGTGACTCTCTGGTAACGGTAACTTCGCAGTCCTAGTTGAAAATAGCTGCTCTGAATCTTGCCCATTGTATGTGCCTAGGTGACTTCACAAGTGAATGCAAACACACAAGCAAGCAAACTTATTCGCTTGTTATCGTCCTCCCTTCAGTCAAGGAAGCAAGCATAAAAACGTTTTATCTTTTATATACCCCTTCAGTTGAGAGCAAAACGATCAGTTACGTAAAAAAAACTATTGTCTAACCAAAAAAACTCAAGCTAAAAATTTCCAAAAAATGATCTCATATAGCAATCCTAGACCTCGATTCCACTCGGTCAAACTTTATGAAAAAAGTTCTCGGGCAAAAAAAACTCAAACTGAAAATTACGCAAAACCGATTTCAGATTGAGATTCCCCGACCCCGCTTTACTTTCGTCAACATTTATAATGACCTACAATCTGTAATCCCATGATATTTGACCTATCACAAACAGACAGACAGACACACACAAACTCATTTTGTTTCATATGACCCTCCCATCAGACGAGGAAATGAATAGCCAAAAACGCTCCGTGGTAACGACAAAAAAAGGTCACTTAATTTCTAACTATTTTTATAAAATTGGAAGTCGCACTATTCACTAGCACTTTCTTCTTTTTTATACATTTAGACACAATCTAAAGCCAACATATACTGTATTAGCCGACAATATAGTTAAGAAATACAATTTCTAAACCACTACCAAACGAATCTCATTGGCCCCGTCCTTTGCTATAAAAAACCTGTTTCGACAAGAGTCACATAGCCAAAACATCTGATTGGCCGAAGCCCCAACTCGAAAAAATCTGATTAGTCCAGACGACAGTACTGGAAGCCTCCGATTGACTGAACATATAGCACAAAGTAGTCATCAACTTCACTATTCATTTCAATCTTTTATTCAGGACCTTTGACTTTACCATAATCATAAACTCGTTTTAATCCATATCATTCTCCCTTCAGTCAAGGAAACGCTCTGATATGAAGGCACAAACGTAATAAAAAAAAGCCTCCTATCTGATTGCTCCGTTCTCTACCTAATCATAAGCTCACATGTGAAATCCGACCTCAGATTCGGAATCATAATCCTCGATAATCTGTAGTAAAGTTTCATCAAAAGATCCCAAAAATCTTAAAACAAAAAAAGGTCGTTTCTGATTGATCGGCTTCCTAGCCTATGGGGAGATCGGATATAAAATCCAACCTCAGATTCGTATTTCTCGACCTCAATTACCTTCGGTGAAACTTTAGAAGCTACGCCTAAATAAACTTCACCTCTGATGTTTTTTTGACCCTGGCACATACAAACTCATTTTATTTCATATGATCCTCACTACAGTAGAGGAAATTATGATGCATAACTTATTTTATTCATCATCTCCACGAAAATGGATGCAAAAGTTTCACCAAGATATTTGCTTGTTTTTTTCGAGATCTATTCAACATTTGCATATGATTAGAACACAAAACGAATTTCAATAGCACAGCTGAGCGATATCTTAAGTGTATTAAGTAGAAAGACTTCTCAGATATTTATTATGTTCTTTTGGAAGGCTGATACAATTCAGGAGACTGCTCAAATATTTTTTTGATGATAGTTGGATCTTGACAGAAACATACAGAGCGCACCTGGTAAAATATTGAAAGATGTTTTCAAAATCTTTTAAAGATGTATAATGACATTTTTTTTTATTTTTACAGCAGAAACATCAATTACTTTTGTGCATTTATCCTGCCAGGTAGTCAAAAAATTATTAAATTAGCGTATTCATTTTGATTTAGTTATGCAATCACTTGTTTCATTCAATGATTATTTTCAGTAAGAGGCACACTATTTGGTAAAAACTAATCATACTTTTCATTCTGCGTGAGAAAAAAAACAAAAGTAGATCTTTTGAATCTGATAGAAATTAATACGAAAAACTTGTGGGATTGGATAAACCGAAAAGAATATTTTAAATAATGACGTATTTTTCCAGGTTTTTTCCAGATGAGCTTTGTTCACCTAAAACTCAATTATAACTTAACAAGTCATTCATAATTCGAGATATGAAACTATGTTGTCATGTAAAATGATGCGACGCAATCCAACCGAGTAAGCACATCAGGTCTTACACTGAATATCTGCGCATTGATACTTTATCTGTTCAATTCAGTTTCATTATCTTTTAAGTATATTAGGAATACACTGTTAAGGTTGCTCAAAATAGGATCGAATCAACCTAGTAAAATATTGAAATCTATCAAAAAATCTTTCGTTTTGAATTTAAAGCCACTCAAAGACTACCAAGATTCTACTTATATTACTAACCAGCTAACGATTCTGGTCCAGTCTCTCTAGAATTCTAATTCGGCCTCTTACGAATCCAGCACGAAGATACAAAGGCCCTCGTCATGGAGCTGTGCTTTCTCAATCTTGTGTCTGTGCACATAACTTTGGATCCTGATTCACTATGGGTGCACCCAGTTTTGCCGACACACTATACGGCATTATTGAATGGCTGGTAAATGCATATAGTGTTCGGGTCACAACCAACATTGTTAGTGCTGCAGTTATCTAGACACGTACTATTTTAGTCGCATGCTCGAGAAATACAAATCATGAAGTTTATTATTGGTAGATGAGAAAAGATGACGACAAAAATTGTTCTGTGAATGACTGATGAGAACGGTGTTGAAATTTTTCAGAAAGAAGTTACGCTACATGGTGATAAGGACTTTATTTCGCATGTAGCTCACGAGCTGAAAGCAGATATGCGAATATTGCTCGAGTGATTAGTTTAGAGGGTGAATTTGAATGTATAAAACGAATTATTAGATTTAGGGTCGAGATGAAGCGTTTAGAGGATTTTCGATGGTTCAGAGAATAGTTGTAGAGGAATAGGGTATTTAGGAAGAAACATAGCTTTCTCTTTTTTTCAGAGTGAAAGATTAAAGGAAGTCATGTCTAACTCTATTAAGGTTACGAAAGTTGTTCTTGTTTGAAGGTAATGATTGAATCGAAATATTTGGAATTTTTTTCGTAATCTTTTCATTATTGATTTAAATAGAGAATAAGCTGATTTATAAGTCATTTGAGGAAATGCAAGTCAATTTGCTGATCTCAATAAGTTCAGTGATATTTTATGACTTTGAAGAAGAAGAGATAGTATTTGGAGTTAAATTTAAGGTTTGAATTAGTTACATTTTTGATCGGACTATGATTTTCATAGCACTTCTTTATCAACTTTAAGAGTTTAGTATATAGATCAATTTTCTCTATTCGAACGTGAAATTAATCGAAGGTAGGTAAGAAGTAGGTGTCATCAATACGATTAACTGCTGCACTAGTTTTCACTAAGATATTTAAGAAAACATAAATGACTTTGAGAATGAGATTTTTTTTAATGAATTTGAATATTATTAATATTTCTACTAACAAAGATAAGCTCCTTCACACGATAGTTTCAGTTTGCTGGTAGAGCTAAATACTATTAGAAAATATTTATTCCGTCTAATGCTTTTTTCGAAACTTCCCACCGATGACTTCATCACGCAAGAAATTGTATAGAATACTTTCCAATTAAGAACGTTGTCTCTTTTATCGACAAAAAAATCTTAGTCTTTTCTTTCATATTTTTTCTTATCACCTCAGTAATGTGACATTTAACTTTTGCGGATCTTTTGGTAATGAATAGTCTCTCTTTCAATTTCATTTCATGAGAACAAGCACTTTTGCATCTTTTTCTCTCAAAACACTGCAGCTGATTAATCGAACAGAATGGCTAGATGTGCTAAACGAGATCTATAAATGCTGCAATGGATAGCTAAGACATTGCTTAGACGATATTCTGGAGCGCAAGTCCGAACGCCATTAGTGGAAATAAATTGAGCACTTCGATATTTGAGCCCTTTCACTATTTAAATGTTTAGCCACCGCATTTGAAAAGTAGTTTTTTCAAAACGAGGATGCCTTTGATATCTACGTCGGTATACTAAATCACGAAGTTGTTTCATAGAAGACTCGATCCCTGCTATATAGTTTTTTTCTGATTTTTCCTAGATTCTGTAATTCATCAATAATAAATTTGTTCCAATTTCAGTCATTAGAGATTATCAAATTCACGCATCACTTCTGCAAAGTGATATCTCGGTACGTGTAAATTTATGAGTAGCAATAGTGTATCTGATATTTCAATCTTTGAATAGGAACAATTCAGTGAGCTACCTTCCTGAGCATTTTAAAACATGAAAAGTCTTCTTACTTGTTGGAGTGCACACATGACTCAAAACAATCTCCGTCGCAGATCCGTCCTGTATGACTGCTGAACAGTTACGAATGGTATCCGCTGTTGGTGTAAACAGATAAACGTCCTTAGCAGATGGACTAAACGTTTTTGTAATATTGCCCGCTTGTTGGAAACTGCAAGTGATCGACAGGAAGTTTGCTGCTGAGCCCTGGAGGATAAAATGCCAACCATAAGTGCCATCTGTTGATGTTGGACATGTGCCACTTTTATAAGTTGTACTTGTAGAGCCGCTTTGACTAGTCTTGAGATAAATAGTATAGGTCGCTAAAAGCAATACATTCTTTAAGTTTTTTCATTAGCAACAGCTGAAAAAACCATGAATGAAAGAACCAATATCAAAATGTTTCAGATTCATGTCTCTAATCAAGATTCTTTTGAAACCCAAAACATAGAATGAACAATAGGCTAAATGTCGTCAACAAAATTCATCCTGAGAAAGAAAAGTACATTATAACCGCAATTTTCTGTAACAATTGAAATATTTTTAAAAGCAGAACTTCAAGAGGCTTCCATTCGAGCTTTTTTCGGAGCGCACCGCTCTACCTCAATGTTCTTCAGTTTAAATGAATTAGTTTTTAAACATATCAAGGGACATTCTGTTTGATGTCTCTCTAATCATGCATCCGAGTTCTTGGTTCTCCTCAAAACGTATACCACATATGCATGTCTTGTTATCACCGTCATTATAACTGTCACGTATCAATAAAAATAGTGGCATCGTCTCGAAGAAAAAATCTTTTTCCTTCACGTGTACCTATCTGGTTCCAATCGAACCTATTCAATATTGGTCTTTCTATCGTTTTTTTATTCGGCTTGGACTTCTATAAATCACTGCCATATACATTTTCTTGTTATACTGAGTAAAAAAACACCATTTTCGCAAGCTTTTGAAGTAGGTCGAAACAAAAAATGTTGCGTAATATGAAACAAAATGCGTTTTTTTCGAGAAGAATGAGAGATATGAGACTTTGAATTTTTTATGATTTGAAAGAAGTAATGATTCGTATGCAGATATGACTATGCGAGGAGTTGATTTCACTGTCTTATGGTGAGAAAAATGAAGGATGACTCATATCGGTATATCGGTTGATCAAATGCGGTGTATCCACCGAGAACGGTAAGACTAATTATGAAGGAAAAGTCCTACTGGCTTCACTTCAGGTATACAGACTACTGTTTTTCAGAGCTTTTGTTTGGTGCATTTGTGTGAGTCAGTTGCATTCGAAATCCTCTAACGATGGAAAAAATAAAATGCTTTTTGTGCTGAACATTTTATAGTATAATGCAAGCTTAGTAAAATGTAACTGAAAATATGCTACTTTTCCACCGAATGAGCAAATATTGTTGATCTCATAATTGGCAATTTATTATGTGAGGGACTCGTAAATGAAAAATCTTCAGAAAAAACCCGCTCAATTCATTAATCACGATCCATGTTTGATGAAGTTCATCGAAATGCTAGCATGTCAAAAGTGACATGATATAATATATTATCAATGGGTTTTAAATGATACACAGTGTACTATCAAGAAATTCTTACTACGCTGAAACATATGTGCATTACGATTTCTTGAGATACGAAATTCTCCGAAGTTGAGACATTCTATATTCTTTAAAAATTACACTTAATTCGTTGATCAAAATATACATTTGATTAGTATCCCAGAAGAACGTTGAACAGTACTCGATTTCTTTGACATTTGCTACTAGTTTAAGAGTGTAAGAATGAATAGCGAAACTATTAGTGTCAATGCATACAAAAACTTATTGAACATAAAGCTACTTACATTGTCTTCTAATACGTTGAGGTGTGCGCCGTGGCCGTAATAAAAATTTTGATGATGAACCAATAGTTTTCTTGCATCTCATTAACTTAAGTTCACTGGAGCTATCATCATCAAATTTGAATTTCACTGACAAACTTGAAATATATGCAGCAATACGAGCTTGGATAACATCAGTAAAATTATCTTTGCAAGGCTTATATGAAGCACAACTTTCCGGATAAACTATATGAATTTTCACCTCAACAATTGAGCCATTAGATCCCATTTGATCACACATCGATCTGAAACAGAGTTAGACAGGTATTGAGAATAGATGTCATACAAATATGAGGACACACATTTCATGTTTTTTGCTATGAAGTTGACGGCGATGGCGACGAGCATCGACAATTGTTTCAGCATTATTGATCTCAATAGTATCGACACGGATCGAGCCTGATTGGATAGCATAAGCTGCTTCTAACTAGAATTTCGTTCAAGTTAATTGGTTTATGCATACGTCATAACTAATTGAAAAATGATTACTTTTCGGGCAATCTCATCAGTATTGATGACCACAATACTCTGATCGTTGTTTGGCATCCAAGTTGAGTAGAAGCTTTGCATTATTTCGTCTGATTCTACAATATAAAATGAATGATTGAAATGTGCAGTCGTTTCTCAGAGTATATTTGCAACAAATTTGGTCATTATCTTAAGAATCTGCTCGAAGATAATCAATATCCAAAAAAAAAATAGTTTACGAATATGACGAATCAAGAAAGAAAATGCACTTAGGCTATGTATATTACAAGCTGTTAGCCTAAAAAAAGGTCTGATTGATGAATTATGTTGCATGACAGAAGATTTTTTATCACCTGCAAATATTTTTGCAGGCGCTGATTCTGCGACTGACAGTCAATTATCTGAACGGTCCATGTATCGTAGCAATTTTAGATTAACTTGAAAGATATTCTATTTATCGTGATTCACATGACTTTGAAGTTACTCGTTTTAGGACTGAGTTCTTCCGAAGGAATAACTGTTATACTTTAAGGCATGGAAGAAAATATTCGAAGATCCAGAAAAAGAAAACTTTTCAGTACAAGATCTACTATATCAACATACTTAATGCTTCAAATGTGGGTTTACATTATAAGAGTTATTAGTACTATAATTAAAACTATGTTACAATACATTCTTTCCATAGAATTCTAAATAGTTATCAATCCTACGTGAAATAATACTACTTTTTTGCGTTATAAGAACGTATAATTGGACTTTTTACTCGATCCATAGACAATTGACGAATGGCACTCGTATTAAATATTGGCTGATTTTCTTCATGTTTTCATTAAAAAAATCCAAAAATGTCTTAAATTTCTCAGAATTAGATCCAATCGGTGATATTTTGCTCTGAAAATAATTAGGACTCCAATACCTATGAACTCTCTAAATTCCAAACAGTTTAGATTAAGTCATGTGTATTATTACACGTTTCTCATTGAAATAATCTATACAGAATGATATTGAGAATTTTGGAAAATGAAGCTTGCTCATGAACAACTACAGCTCTAAGCTACGTGAAACATTATTATACTTGCTGAAGAAAATAGTATGTTTATCAACTAAGTCTTCATTCATTTAATCTTACATGAAGAAAATATGTAGAATAAAGAGATAATTAACTAGATGGTATTTAAGATTTTCTCGCATACGAAATGTGGCGCCTAGCAAGAACCTTCAATATAAGAAAATATTAGATATTCCGTAAAAGACGATCATCTATTTTAGAATTCATAAGAAGTCGTTTTTTCTCCAACGAATCTTAAGTTTTACTGAGATTAGCATGTTTTTCTGCCCTTGTCAACTCTAAATTTCATGACTTGACCTTGAAACGTAGACACTCCAAAATTCATCTTTTCAAGAACTCTACCAAAGCCTATCAACATACTTCGAATAAACGATATCGGTAGATTGTCTAATTATTTACATGAGTCATTAGCTATGATCAACTGTGTTCACAAATGTTTTATGTATCTATACAAAGGATGGCGAACAACCTCTTTTTTTGTTTCCGTTTTAATTATCTCGAAGCTTGATAAAAACGAAGTCCTAAAAACTTTGGCCTTTTGAAACAGCTACTTTCAGAGAAACGGAATGTCCTATTCAAGATTGATGGAAAAATCGCATCAGTACAATCGCGATACTTTCACTTCGGATTTCATGAATTAGTTTCTCAGATATGCTTTTCAAGGTCATGACGATGCACAACATCAACTTTTGATGTGTACGTCGAGAAAGTATGAAAACTGACGATGGACTAAATTAATGCTGTGCTTCGTACGGCATTAATGATTTGGAGGCCTTATAACGCATGGCTTTCTTAGTGCTTAAGTGCTGTTTAAATGGTCATCGCTAGACAGAACAAATTTTCGGTGGCCTCAATCGTCCTTTTTGATGCAGGAAACGGAAGCATACACCGATTATATTGATAAGTTTCGACTGAATCGTTTTCAAAACTTCATAGAGACTTAAAAAGTCGATTGATGAATATTTTCCAATTTCCTACATAAGACGTATTGTCTATCCAAAGTACCATTAAAAAGGATGATTATCATAGTTTGGATGAAAGAAAGCCTTTGGCTTAATAACTCACTATTTCTAAACGATGAAATTTTAAAAAATGAGTATGTGAAGCAATCTAAATTTCCTAAAAAAAACTTCAATACTTTGAAGCGTTTTGAATGCAATCTTTTTTTTAAAGACTCATAGTGTCATTGCTGATTAAGATTTCTTTACTATACCTTTATCTTAGCGGAAAACTAAATTTCTTATTATTTCTCTAATGTAATACTATTTCTGAACCTTACACAATAAATGCTAAACAAACAACATGATCTACTATTTAGCTCAAAGTGAGAGTTGACAAACCTGTGTTGTAGTCCGCCACATTGCTTCTATTAAAGTTCTTAAGAAATACAGAAATCAATGGGAGTATGATAATGATGAGAAGCCCAAGCAAAACTAAGCCAGTGAGAATTCCAATCCCCAAGATGATTCGTTTGGCTTGTGTTTTTCTGAAAGAAAAATACATAAAATATGCATCATTTACTTGTGAATAATAGCAATTGAGAACAGTATTAACGTTAACCTGAGAAGATAAAGTCCTTGAGTGGAAAATAGTTTTTCAGCTTCGACTAGGACCATTTTCTTGTTTATAGCAAGTAACGTCATTTTCTAAGTTGAATTAAATCTGTGATTGTTTTAAGGCTAAGCTATGAGTGTTATTTTACTTACTTTTCAAACTCTTCTAAGGCATTTTGGGGAAGCAAGTGAAGTGGTTTTTATTTGAGAATTCGCAACTAAATAGGTCTCGCTGGTACCAGAATGTTCCAAAAGTTACTGTCAGAACATATCTTTCCATCTCGATCTATTAAGTGCTTTAAGAATTCATAGTTTATGAAAAAATCGGACACACTTGGTCTGCTTGAAAAACTAATATTTTTTAAGAACCATTCGTTCGAACTGAAGTTTTTGATAAAATCTGGCAACGATAAGATCTGTCTGTGTGCAAAATTTCTGACAAAAATACTACATTCAATTTTATCCGAAAAAGCTTTAGAACAGATCGAGATATGATCAAAATAACGTTCATAATTCCACTTCAAAGATCCTGACGTTTAATCGAATGTTAAAGCATTACACAAGTAGTTATGACTGATTTAATGGCCACAGTGTCGGTCAAGAAGAGCACTCACACTTGAAAATCTCTGATAACAGTCAGTAGCGAATCGGCGTGTTAGTTGTAATGCTGGTGAAAGAAGCTTTGACAAACTTACAGCTTCTCCATTGTACCTATATCTTTTTCATATAATATTTCCGTTGACATTTCTTGTGATATTGACGATTGAATGTCGTCAGAGACGTTGAAATCAAAGTGGTAAGCTTGATTTCTAAAACATATGATTCAAAGTGTAGAGGAAAAGCTGAATTGGCAAGAAAAAAACTGAGTGTTGATATTTGAAAGTCTTGATATATACACTGGGATAAAGTCGTCATTTTCTTAGCATTCGATCAGTTCCTAGTGGATCTCTTTAGAGACTTGAGCAATCATGAATAATTGAAAGATTCATTAGGCTTTATTCTCTTTGCTGATCCCTAATAGGTCGATCAACTGATATATATACCTCTGACAAAAAATAGTAGTATTCAATAGTTTGTGTATGTCATCAATATGAAAAATATCGTTAAAAAATTAATTATATATTCTAAAAGCGCTCGAAATTTTCTAGCATACTGTATATTTATGATTTAGTTTTACATTTTTTTATTAGAAAATAAATTGACTGCAATGCAGACACTATCCTTACCAGAATCTCACGGACCGTAGTTAGTCATAGTCATCATCGTCAATTTTTCAATTTAAAAAAAAATACTATAGAAATACATTTTTACAAAAGTAGTTAAATATTCTGATAGTGTTTTGTGAATTTTCTATCTTCCCATATATTTTCTATTGCATTGAATTTATTTGTTGCGAAAATAATCTGAGTACAATGAAGACACTCTCAATCGACAAATACAAAAAACCCACGTTGTTTCACCACTTTCTTTCAATTTTCTTTGTGCAATTACAGGTAATCTGGAAATAAATTCATACTAATGATTGTTATACTAACTTCAATATTTATTAGATAGTTCGAACATCATTTATATAATATTTACTTGTATATACCTGTATACTTACCCTTCACAAGTAAATACGTATATATATATTTACTATTTACTTATAAACCAATAATCACCTTATTTACTATTCACTAGTAAATAAATAAATGGTTTTTTTAGACTTATTGGTAAAGTAAAGATAAAGTATCACTCCAATTTCAAACTGTGTCGTATCTTATTTTTAGTAAGATTAAATCTTTTTAAATGAAAGAAAAATACAATCTTGAGTTACTTCATTTTTATGTTGCTACTCAGAAACCGGATTGACAGTCCAGTTTACAGATGCTTTTTGAAAAGGGTGGCTTTGTAGTACTTAATATCTGCAATTCATTTCGTACAGAATTTCTCAAAGCTTATCGCGAAAAAAAAATCGAAATGATTCGAAAATAATACTATAGAATCTTAGTCATTCTATTTGAGGATCGGAAAATCCGCTCGATGCTTATGACCGCAAAGGCTTTCTAAAGAGATAGCACTTTCGAAAGACAAGCACTTACTCGTTAAGTTCTTGTGAAACCTTCTGTGTTCACTAACTGAATAACACTGTAATTTATCGACGTTGTTCTA